CTGCACATTCACAAGGAGCAAAATAAGGGCAACTCTATAATATTCAGTGTTCAGTAACATCACATACATCTGGTTTATGCCTGATTTTATTCTCAGGTCACTCGGATCAAATGGATTCACACTTGTAAGTATCATATATCAAGTTCATATATTTTACGAATTCATTTCTGGCGCTCCGGTCGTGTTTGTGGCCTTGTGTCATTTAATATATGGCGAATTATTTGTAGCTTTTGATTAATAATTTTTTATTTGATTATGAAAAGCACTGACACGATCAAACCGCATATGAGTTTTAACAGATTTCGTTAATTCTACAAAAACAAAGTCGCTAATTAAAAATAAGATTAAAATGTTTCTTCGACTCCGCGTCACATTTAAACAAGTTTTTGGCTTTTAAAATTAATTAGGCATAAAAACGGTACCAGAAAAATATGAATTAGCTATATGCGACTCTTGTCTTAGTTTCCCATTTATCAGCAACAGCATTAGTTGTTATAATAATAATAATAAATCGGATATAGTAATAAACAAACATTGTTTTTCTTCTCTTGATTCTTATTTTTGATGCAGCAGACTTTCCTCAAATACTGCATAAATAAGGAAGTGTCACATTAAATAATTTCTTATTGTGATATCTGACATTCTGGTTTAGATTAATATATATAAGCTATGGTATTATATTGTGAACGTTTACGACATAAATTAGCAGTAGTTTAAATAGTAATTTATTATGTTACGGCTATCTGTAAATTATTAACTGAGGTTAATGTAGCCTATTTAATAAACCAATCCGCGTTGTTGAGCGTTGATGGGAAATTATCAAATGTAATGCAAATAACTCTAATTCCTTTTTAATGGAATTACTGACTTTAAGCGTCATACTGTTATTTCTCGCGTTGTGAAGTTCCAGTTTAGCCTAAATTAGATTTATACATTAAAGTAAAACTATGTTTATCAATCTCTCTAATCTACCTAATCGCACTGCGAATACATTTAAAGTCGTTTTCTATCGGGGTTTTCTTCTAATCCGGTATAATGGTTTTTACCAAAGCGTCAGAAGAGAAAATACAGATTCTGCTGCTTTATTCACGAAATAGCCTATTAAAAATAACGGCTGACATTTAATATAAAACGATCAAATAATACAATATATTACCATGAAATATGTACACTGGAAAAAAATGATACTAGCTTTTTTAAGGTAAGTAGTTGCAAACAATTTATTTTAGCTACATTTAATAAAAAAAAATAATTTTGAAAGTTAGTCAGCTAAATTTGTTTATTTAAATGCAGCTAAAATAAATGGATTGCAACCGCTTACCTTACAAAAATTAGTAAATTGAATGAATCATGTTATTCAGTGTAATATAAGTAGCCACTTTTACAGTTAATAGTTAAACTTTCAGCAGTTAAACTACTAGATGAATTCAGAGGCTGATATTGAGAATAAAGCACATTATTTAGCTACACGCTGCACACACATTTAAAGCTGACGGAAGTAGTATTATCCCTCGCACAAGGCTCTTGAAATGTTATGCGGTTAACATTATGTTCAGAAATGATTTTCTCAGTAAATATCAGTAAGAGTGCTGAACTCTCCATCTAGCGGCCGCTGAATGAAGGCGTCAGGCGCACAACAACGACGCACGAAAACATTGCATTTATTTGACATGTCTGAAATAAAGTCTCAAAGTCAAAGGGGGTGCATGTAGTCAAAAATGTTTATTAGCAAATGTCCCTGCAGCACAAAAGCAGTCTTAAGTCGCTGAGGTATATTTGTAGCAATAGCCAACAATACATTGTATGGGTCAAAATTATACATTTTTCTTTTATGCCAAAAATCATTAGGATATTAAGTAAAGATCATGTTCCATGAAGATATTTTGTAAATGTCCTACCGTAAATATATCAAAACTTAATTTTTGATTAGTAATATGCATTGCTAAGAACTTCATTTGAACAACTTTAAAGACGATTTTCTCAATATTTAGATTTTTTTTTATTTTGCACCCTCAGATTCCAGATGTTCAAATATTGTGCTATCCTAACAAACCATACATCAATGGAAAGCTTATTTATTCAGCTTTCAGATTATGTATACATCTCAACCCTTATGACTGGTTTTGTGCTCCAGGGTCACGTGTCGGCAAAAGTGAGTTAATCTGACAAAACTATGACCTCAATGGGAAAATGATTCATAAATAAAGTAATAATGCATGTGCAAGTTCGTGTTGGTCTGTAGTCATTATAATTAATATTATTTACATAGACCTGTGTGTGTGTGATACGACTGTCAAATGAGTTTTAACAGTATCTGACAGACCTGTGTGAGAAAGCTTGATGAATAAGCAGCAGCATGCAGGACTCGACGGGAAAAGACATTCATGAAAGAATGGCGTGACCCGGATGACAGCATCTCCGCCTTCATGCCAGTATGAAAGCCCTTCTGTCTTACTCTGTTTCCTGCCAAATAAAACTCATGCACGGCGATTTAAAGCTCCATCTCGTCCGGATGCGTCCGCCTCGGTCCCTCATTGCTTCTGACAGCGGCTCCTCGCGCAACACGAGCGACACGCGGAGACACCGGGGACTCAAGATGCTTGTTACCATGGAAACGGAAAAAGCCCTCATTCACAGAGAGACACCTGCGGGATGCAGAAGTTCAGACCCGCATCAAGAAACCTTACTCGCCTGCTTTGATTCGCAAAACAACAAAAATCGGAAAAGTTCAATCTCTGAACTGCTTAGCTATAAGGTGCGGTCGCGTGCAGCGTTCTTCGGCGAATTCTCGCAGACATTTCAATAGGAACCTATGCATTTGGGAATGTCCCGTAGCAGCGAAACTTTTCCACATGCACATTTCGCTTTGGGTTCAATTGCTCATTAGAACTGGCCTCACTGACCAACAGAAAAGAAAAAGGTTTGAAAGTGCATCATACATCGCTGCACAGTTACACAATAGACTTCAGCCACAGACAATTTCGTTAATGTGACCACAATTTTAGACAAGCATACGGTGCATTAAGATCTTGGGAAGTTTGTATTTACAAGTTGGGAAGAAGTTATTACGACTGCTTAAATTTGATCGGACGTGCAGCTTTTTGTGCATCAAGCTCAAAACGATTTTTGTAACTTTACATCTATAAAATGATGAATAAAGATTCGAATTCTGTAAGTTTATTCATTGTTTTGTCGCTATTGTGCAGAAGCCTTCTATCATATGTTGTACACACGGCTTACTTTATTATAAACATATTTAAAAATCGTTTGGAAATTCTATAAGCTTTTATCAGTTTTCAACCCGATCTCATGAAAGTGTGTATCAATAGCACGAGCAGCCCGTTTCGATTTGGCGTAGTTTACACACAGAGATCGACTTTGGCGTGCATATGATACGCATTGAGCAGGATTAGGGGTGTGGGGTTAGATGCGCATCATATGCACGCCAAAGTCAATCTCTGCGTATAACACCACGATTTTCTGTTTTTATTTGGCGTACTATTTATACGCATTTTCATGAGACCGGGCTGCTCGGAAAATAGGTTTAAAAGAAAATCCAGTTTTCTGAATTTGACCCTCATGACTGGTTTTGTGGTCCAGGGTCACAAATACGATCTTTCCGACACCACCAACATATCCCTTACTGCAGAACCCCAGACAAACTCAGCTCAGATGGTAATGTGGTGAAACAGAGCAAACTAATGAGGGCAGAGAACTGAACACTAAGCACGAGCCAATCAATCAATTAACATTACTACAGCAATATCAAATAATACTCGTTCTTATAGTGCATGAAACTCTGTTCATCTGTTATGCCGTGGTTACTGTTGTTTCTTCTTCAAATGCTGTTTCTCTTGCGCTGTAGTTCTGTATCGGCTAATGTTACCGTGTCAGTAAAGCACTAGGCTAGATTCAGCTGAACATAGAAACTAGGAGACCACAGACAACACGCTTCTGTTTGAACATGGCGCCACCTCGTGGAAAACCACAGGTACTACAACGAAAAAAATAAAAGTTAAAAATCCACATAAATATTAGATAGAAATATATGAATTTTAACCAGAAACATTTGAAAGTGAGTGAATTCTCGCATTGCAGATGTTTTTGACATTGTTTAATGCATGATATTTGTTTTGTGTATATATTTTCCTGCCAATTAGGAAAGACACACCTGTAAAAAGTTCTTAATTTTTTAATCTCAGAGGCTTTCTTTGTTAAATAAAGTTAAAAAATAAAGAAACAAATACATTATAAATAAATAATAAAGAGCTTTCTAATTAGTGTCATTATAGTTTATTTATCCTTTATTAATTTATATACTACACTTTTTTTCTTTTCTCTACCAAAATTAAGTGCCAATGGAGCAAAAAAACCAAAAACCTAAATTCGAAGTTAGAAGATTATTTTTCTGACCCCATTGGCAGATGTTTTTGTTTTAAGCAAAAACTCAATTCATTTTGATTCATTTTTCAGAAAACCATCATACAAAAACCTAAATTCGAAGTTAGAACAAGATTATTTTTCTGACCCCATTGGCAGATGTTTTTGTTTTAAGCAAAAACTCAATTCATTTTGATTCATTTTTCAGAAAACCATCATGTCATTCTGCTTCTCCAGTAAATGCTTCTTGGTTTTAGAATGTTTAGGTATTTGTGCTGGAAAACAAGACAGAATCACTGAAGAACAACAACATCATTTTGTTTTGCATTATATAAGGGATCAATTTTTAATTAAGCACAACCGCTAAGGTTTTTTTTTTGCCATATTTTGATCACTTCTGTAGACCCTGGTTTTGTGTTTGAGGGAGAGCTGGCAGAATGATAATACTAGTTAATGCCGAGTTTAAAAATGACCTGCAAATGAAGGAAATAACTGAATGGAACATCTAAAGAGATCATATTCAGCCTCCTACTGGAACAAATGAGAACGTCTGTAAAAACACACACAGCTGTTTCCTGCTGCACTCGATTAAAACGGCCAATAATAAATGAGCGATGGAATAAATCCATCTGGATTATCAGGTTCGTTCTCTTAAGGTTCCTCTGGTAAACCAAGCCTGGCACCAGAACCTTCAACTAAATGCCAAAAACCTTACAGACTTCTCATATACTGGTGATTTATATCCATTTTAACAATGAAGGTAATAACTGAACCATAAAATAAAAAGACTTGCACAAAACAAAATATAAAAAAAACACCTCAGATTGGATCAGAGCAATATTGGGGTTTATAATAAAAAGGTAAAAATATAAAATGAAAAATACTGACATCCACCGAATGAGCATCTCTGACACACACACACACACACACACACACACAGTTTCTCAGTCAACACTGGGATGAGTTTACACACACAGCAGCTCTTCTTCATCAGTCTTCATTCGCCTGCAGATCTCCATCATGTTGATTCTCAGCTGCTCTGATTCAGATTCATTTCCCAACACTCTGACCTAAAAACTACTGCTAACGATGAACTCGAGGAGATCAAGCAGAGACTCATCATCGTTTGGCTCTTTTTGAAGGCGGCTCGTCAGATTTCTGTCCTCCACGTGTGCGAGGAAGAGCAGGACTGGAGTCACGCTTGCGTCCCCTCGCCGATCTGAGACACACACACACACACACACACACACACACATTTTTAAATTTTTTTTTTTACATTTTTAACAAACCTATTGTTAAAGAACGCACATGACTTGTTCTTTAATTTCCAGTGTGACGATTGAACAGTAAGTGATTTTTAACATCTTTTTTGACTCATTATTAGATCAGATTCACATTCAGGCATTTTTACACAAAATTTAGTCAAAATGCAACATCTGTATTCACAAGCAGATAACTGAAAGCCACTCACTGAATTAAATATGAAGCATAAAAAGGTCATGTGACAGTGCAGCAAACTACTGTTTGAACAACTTAAATGAGATAAATTGATACAGTACTATAACTGTAATATAATGAGCAAGAAAAAAACAATTAGATAAATAAACATAACAGTACTACAAAAAAGAAAAAAAAAAATATTTTTTTAAATTAGATAAACAAAACGGTTCCCTATTGATACTTCACTCGTCCTGCGTCTGCTAAGACGCTTTGGGGAAAACTCCTTTTTCTCCGATGACTGAAGCCTTTCAATAACGCAGTGTAACTGCACGGCTATTGGTTCGTGCAGTGAATAAAAAACGAACCAATGTGCGACAAAGCCCGCCAGAATGGGCGGGGCCATCTGGCTGTATAATCGGGCATTTTGCCGTAGGATCCTCAAATTCTTCTCCTTCAGCGACGGCTGCTAGATCTTCACTCTACGAGACTACGAAGCCTTCGCCGTGATCAAGCCTCGCAGCGGATTGAGAGACCTCTTCCTGCTCTGCCATCTTCGCCGCTTCACGCCGCCTTCGCGCCTGCAGCAGCGATGGTCTCCGGTTCCCTGCCGCCATCCAGCGACATTAAAAGAGCAAATTTCAGAGCAAATTTCCGGCGTTATTTTAAATGCCGCACCATTACTGTCGCTCGTGCAGGGCTCCCCTGCACGCCGCTGAAGGTCACGGCGAGTGTTTCATGCTTGGGCGCCGCCCACGCTGAAGCAGCACTCATTGAGACGGAATGTCCTCATTGCGAGGATATGAGTCTCGCCTTTCTGCGCTCGCGGAAAGCTTTCTACACAACCAGCCGCTGTTAGAGTGAGTAAAATAAAACACAAACATTTTCAAAAAGAGAGCCAATTTCCTCTTCCACTCATTCCGAGCGTCAGGTCCCCATTAGGCGGCCCACCGCTTGAACCAATCCAATCCCCCAAGGCCATCCCCGGAGTGTCAGACTGGGTTATGGGGATAATAAAACAGTTATACACTCCAATTCGCTCGAAGACCCCCACGATTCAGCGGCGTGGTCTCCACCTCGGTTCGGAGAAAGGATGCACATGTCCTACGCGCCGAGGTGATACATTTGCTGGCAAAAGGGGCCGTAGAAACGGTTCCCCCAGCCGAGAGCGAGTCAGGCTTCTACAGCCGTTACTAAGAAGGATGGCGGCCTAAGGTCCATCCTCGATCTCAGGCACTTGAATCGCGCCCTCATGAGACGGCTGTTCAGGATGATTATATTGAAATAGATCCTCTCACAAGTATGCCCAGGGGACTGGTTCTTTTTACTGGACCTGAAAGACGCATACTTTCACATCCAGATAGACCCCGTCACAGACGATTCGCCTTCGAGGGAGTGGCGTATGAGTACACAGTCCTTCCCCTTTGGACTGTCCCTAGCTCCTTGCACTTTTACGAAGTGCATGGATGCGGCTCTTCCCCCGCTGAGACAGACAGAAATTCGCATTCTGTATTACCTCGACGACTGGCTCATTCTGGCCCAGTCAGAGGACGAGCTACTATATTACAGATCCCTCCTCCTCAGCCACCTAGAATGCCTGGGACTCAGGGTCAATTTTGCCAAGAGCGCACTGTTCCCCAGCCAATGGATATTGTTCCTGGACAAAGTTTTAGACTGAGCCCAAATGAGGGCGATAGCTGCGCCAGAACGTGCGCTGGCCATTCAGCAGCTCGCTGCCTCATTCAAAGTTGGAGCCTTCCACGCTCAAGGTCTATGTAGCAGCCATAGCAGCCTCTCACGCTCCTATAGCTGGCCAATCGGTGGGCAGGAACAACTTAGTTGTTCATTTTCTGAAGGGGTCTAGAAGGCTCAACCCACCTCACCCCATCACCGTCCCTACATGGGATCTGCCCACGGTGTTGAGGGCTCTGAAGAGCCCTCCATTTGAGCCGCTACAGTCCATTGACCTTCGTCCCCTGATGCTTAAGACCGCTCTGCTACTAGCGTTAGCATCGGTAAAGCGTATGGGAGATCTGTAGGTGCTATCTGTGAGCCCCACCTGCCTCGAATTCGGGCCCAAAGACTCTAAAGTCGTCCCGAAACCAAGGCATGGTTACATACCTAAAGTGCTCTCTACTCCATTCAGAGCACAGGTAATAACTATCGGCGCTTCCTCCTTCGGAGCAAGACCAAGAGTTGAATTTACTCTGCCCCGTCAGGGCGTTGAAAGTCTATGTTGAGCGCTCCACCCCATTCAGGCAGTCGGATCACCTATTTATATGCTTCAGTGGACGCACCAAGGGTTCTCCGGTCACGAAGCAGAGACTTTCCAAATGGATAATTGACACTATTATGCTAGCATACTCTTCTTTGGGCCTTCAATGCTCCATGGGAATAAGAGCCCACTCAACTAGAGGCGTTGCCTCTTCCTGGGCCTGGTCTAGCAGAGATGTGTCCATTGCAGAGATTTGTGCGGCGGACGGCTGGGCCTCGCAGTCCACATTTGCCAGGTTTTATAATCTGGATATCCCGGCCTTACAGGCTCGGGTCCTTTCTGCATAAACAGGGCACTCTGTCATATGACAAAACTAGTGCTTGGCGTTTGCCTTCTTCATGTACGCTCTTGGCCCTCACTTAGTTCCGAAGCTGTACTAAATTATCTTGGGACAATTATGCAAGGCTGGGCTGACCACTGTGAGTTTGGCCCTACAGACTCCTGCGGGGCTTCCCTGCAAAATACTTGATATTTTGAATGCAGTGCTTCATTTAGCAAGAGATGTGAGGCATTTTGCATTTTGTGTCTGCAATTCTTGGTTTTTTATTCACTGCACAAACCAATGGCCGTGCAGTTACATTGCATTATTGAAAGGCTTCAGTCATCAGAGAAAAAGGAGTTTTCCCCAAAGCGTCTTAGTAGATGCAGTACTCGTTCCGTATCTCAGGGAACCGAGGTTACGTTAGTAACCGAGTACGCTCTATAATGCATAAGAAAAAATGTAAATAATTACAGTTTTTTCAACTGCTTACACACAAAATCTTTACTTGTCACACAGTTTCTGAAACTGACACACAAACAGCAGAAGCACACACCAAATCTGCAAGTCTTTGACTCAGTTTTCAATTTCATAAAGCACTTTTTACAAAACACAACACACAATTCTCTGTGTAACACACAAAAATCTAACAGGAATTAATATTATGGCAAAGGTGTTTGCAAATATTACAAAACTAGTGCTTGGCGTTTGCCTTCTTCATGTACGCTCTTGGCCCTCACTTAGTTCCGAAGCTGTACTAAATTATCTTGGGACAATTATGCAAGGCTGGGCTGACCACTGTGAGTTTGGCCCTACAGACTCCTGCGGGGCTTCCCTGCAAAATACTTGATATTTTGAATGCAGTGCTTCATTTAGCAAGAGATGTGAGGCATTTTGCATTTTGTGTCTGCAATTCTTGGATTTGTGTGTAAAGTTTGGAAAAAAAAGAGGCAAAGTGTTGAAAATGTGTGTAAGCAGCTGAAAAAAACTGTAAATACAGTAACAGTACTATAATGAGGCTCTATATAAGCAGATAGTGTGCAGTACACTAGTATTCATTCTGAACTATGCCAAACAGTATTTCTCAGATGTACAGACCGTGTGCTTGGGGAGCTTTCCTCTTTCCCGCTGAGTTTACTGACAGCTCGAGTGGACGGTTTGCTGGGTTTATTCCTGAAAAAAAACCCAGAGAAATGAGTCTGGATTGACTGAGCCATGAGCATCGCAGCATCAGACGTCTGCCGTACTTCTCTGCCTCCAGACGAGACGCGGCGCGCGTCGTCGCTCTGCTTTGGGTCTCTTCTTCATCATCCTCTTTTTCTCCGTCTCTTTTCTCTGATGCTCCTGTATCTGTGAATCAGACGAACAGACTGAAAATCCTCTAGAGCAGCGGTTTTCAAACTGAATTTTTTTTATTGTAATCAAAAACTAGAATAAAATAAAATTAATTGGGTCTACACACCCGAGTCGTCTGTGGCAGAGGATGTTTTGGAGGGTCGTCCGCGGCGGGCAGGTTTTTGCTGCCGGTCCTCCTGAACACACAGACACACAGACAGACAGACAGACAGACAGACAGACAGACAGACAGACACACACACAGACACACACACACACAGACACACACACAGACACACACACA